TACCTAACTCCACTGAAATTCAGCCCTGATCTCCTTTTGTGGGGGGAGGTGGGGGGTATTTTTTTAATGTTTTACACACCAATTCCAAGAACTCATTGAATTTAGCTGGGGGAAAAAATAAATTCTGATACAAAGTATTTTTAACTGGAGGTGGGAGGAGAAAGGAGAATGATCACAGGTGGGTAATTATACATGGAAATGAGCTCAATTTGGTAATTTTCCCTTCAATTCCTGTTTACACAGTGTACCCTACAGTCTAACTCAACACCATCCTAGCACTGGGGAGAAGGGGCTTGCCTTCTTTTTCATCTTTTATGTCAACTCTGAGATATGAAAAGTGGTTTAGAACGCATTGGAAGAAAAAAATGGGGGGGGGTGTTTTGTTGCTTTTTGGGTCACACCTGACAATGCTCAGGTGTTACCCCTGGCTCTGCACTCTGGAATCACTCCTGGCGGTGCTCGGGGGACCATATGGGATGCTGGGAATCAAACTCGGGTCAGCCACGTACAAACGCTCCACCCGCTGTACTGTCACTGCAGCCCTAGAAGAAAATTTTTTATTTCAGGTCGGAGTGATAGTACAGCGTTTGCCTTGCATATGACCGACCCAAGTTCAATCCTCGGCATCCCATATGGTCCCCCAAAGTGCACTGTCAGGTGTAATTCCTGAGTGCAGAGCCAGAAGTAACCCCTGAGCATCACTGGGTGTGACCCAAAAAGAAAAACAAATTTTGTTTCTCAGCTGGGATTTTTTTTTCCTTCCACTTACACCCATAATTGTGCAAAGCAGATGGGCATGGGGGGCAAGGGGTTGGACTCATTGCTTTCAAGTGTTCATACACCTTGTTCAACATACAAACTCCTGGGATATGTTAGACCTGAGAGAAAACAGGCTAGTTTTGTAGACAAGAAGATTGCCATAAAGCCACAAAACAGGACCGGGATGTGGCTTCGTGGTAAATTACATGCCTGAGACTTGGCTTTGATGCCTGGAACCACTGGGAGAAAAAAAAAGGGCGGGGGGAGGAGAAAACTACATAGTCAATGAGGTGAAACAATCCAGAAATGACTGAGGAATGACGAAAGGAGGGAGAGATGACAATTACTCTGCAGTGTCTGGGTCCAAACCCCAGACCTCACACATGTGCAGCACATGTGTAAACTCTATCCACTGAGCTACATTCCAGGCCCCCAAGCCCCAAATTACTTTTTTTAAAAGTTTTTGGGTCACACCTGGCAATGCTCAGGGGTTACTCCTGGCTCTGCACTCAGGAATCACTCCTGGAAGTGCTCAGGGGACCATATGGGATGTGGGGATTGAATCCTGGTCTGCGGCATGCAAAGCAAGTGCCATCCCTGCTCTGAGCTCCACCACATTGCTTCTGACAGAAATCAGAAAGGACTTCCTGTAGGTGGCAAAGAGGCCCTTGAAGGGTAGTCGAGAACTTGAGCCTTAAAGAGAGCGGGTGTGAGACACACCAAGATTCTCACAGTGGATAAATTTTGAGGGCTAGAGAGAAAGAACCGGGATAGTGCTGGGAAGCCAGCAGGGCAGGGCAACGCCTGTTGGGCAGCTAACCATCAGCTTCCTCCATCATAAAAGACCCTCCAGGATCAGATAGTACAGGGGATCGGGCACTAACCTTGCACTTGACAGACTCAGGTTCAATTCCTAGCATTACCTGTGATCTCCCAGCACCACCAGGAGTAATCTCTGAGCACTGCAGTCTGCCCCTAAGACCCTAAAATTGCCCCTAAAATCACCCTCCTGATGGATTTCATCTTTTTGTTTTGGAACCACACCCAGGAGTGGCTTAGGGGTTATTCTTGGCTCTGCACTCCTAGCAGTGCTCAGAGGACCATATGGGATGCTGGGGATCAAACCCAGGTCGGCCACGTACAATGCAAGCTCCTTAACTACTGTACTACCACTCCAGCCCCCAGATGAATTTCAGTTCTTAGTCAATAAAATTAATCCTCAATTTCCAAAATGTCTGAGTTAGATCAAATAATTATTTTTTTGTGGTTCAAAGGGCTGGAGCGATAGCACAGAGGGTAGAGCGTTTGTTTGCCTTGCACGCGGCCAACAAGGCCAACCCAAGTTCGATTCCTCTTCCCCCCTCGGAGAGCCCAAGCTAGAGAGTATCTCGCCCTCACGGCAAAGCCTAGCAAGCTCCCCGTGACGTATTTGATATGTCAAACACAGTAACAAGTCTCACTATGTTACTGGGCCAGCTCGAGCAAATCGATGAATAATGGAAGGACAGTGACAGTGGTTCAAAAGAACTTCCTCTGCTTTTTGCAAAGGCAAGCAACTACCCAACTTTTCTCCAAGTCAGGAAGAAAAATGTTATGTGTCAACTGAAGATGTATAAACTTTAAGTCACTTGCTGTCAGGTATTTTGATTATTCCCCAGAAACGAAGGAAATTGCTGCAATCACTAATCTTATGCAGCTTTTCATTTTAGTCAATAAAAAAGATATTAAGACTAGGGTCTTGGGCTAGAGCGATAGCACAGCAGGTAAGGAGTTTGCCTTGCACGTGGCCAGCCTGGGTTCAATTCCCAGCATCCCATACAGTCCCCCAAGCACTGCCAGGAGTAATTCCTGAGTGCAGAGCCAGGAGTAACTCCTGAGCATCGCTGGGTGTGACTCCCCCCCCCCCCCAAAAAAAAAGACTAGGGTCTTTTAGGGTATTGTATACAGAAGTCATTTTCTCCTCTCTTTTAGTCATATAAGAGACTTGTACTATAAGATTTGAGAACCAGCTCTAGGGGTGGGGCTGGGGGTGGTGGGGAGGCCTTGTGTTTTGAACATTTGATTTCTGTGATGAAAATATTCCTAAGGCCAATTTGAAGTCAATGCTTTGACAAAGAGCTCACACAATTTCTGAAAAATTTAATTTCAGCTCCTGTGCATATTGGAAAATAAGGGTGACATATTTAAGATCTCTTTCGTGGGGGACAGATAGATAGTACAGTGGGAAGATGCTGATCTTGAATGCACCTGACCTGACTTCAATCCCCGGAATCCCAGTCCCAGAGCAAAGCTCAGAGGGATCCCTGAGCATAGAGCTAGAAGTAAGCCCTGATCACTGCCAGGTGTGGCCCCCAACCAAAAACATAAATCTTGTTATGTCTTCTCTCTTCTCTGACAAGTTCAGGTATTGTTACTAAGAAGTGTGCATTCATACCATATGTCCACATTTAAACAGGTTTTAAAATAGGTGTTTTATCCCAGGAAGTCATTAAAAATCAGGCTATTAAAAAAATTTAATTTGCATAAGTTTATGAAAAGCAATGTTGATTCTAAATTTACAAGTTACATGCTATATCCCCCCAAAGTGAATAATATTTTCATTTTGAGATGGTATTTGACTTTTGTCTTCTTTGTAATATTCATCTATCTTCCAAATTCTCTAGTGTTCACATAATTTATGTTTGGGGAAAAATTAATCAGTCTTATTTTTAAAAGAAAAAAATAGTGACTTTTACAGTCACAGACTCGTGTAAATTGCAAGACTGAATCAGATCAATTTTTAGTTAAACAAGGCTGGATCTTCATTTATTTTAAGTGATGCTTTTACTATATTTAAAGTGCTATGGCACTAGTTTCTCTGTGATGTGGGAAGCAGATTACTATACCCTCATTTCCAGAGGAAGGAACAAAGGTTCAGTATTCCAACCTGACATTCCCAAGGTCAGCTGGTTTCCAGCTACACCTCCTGTGGTGACTGGCTTCATTCTAGGCCTGAGAAGGGGAAATACCACACTGGGGAAGGCCAATTTGCACTGGGAGTGCTCATTGGAGGTGCCACTAGAGGGCACTGTGGAGCCCTGGAGCATTTTCTGGAAAACTGACTTATCTAGCTGCTAGAAACTCAGGCTAGTAGAAGCAGGGAGTTGAGGGGGAGTTGGGGTGTCAAACTGCTACCTCTTCTGGAACAATTCTGAAGATGGTAGTTGGGGTACTCTGCTTCCTGCTTAACCAGAGTCTTCCTTTTACAGCTAAAGTATTCTCCCTTTATTCTGCATGAACATTTATGCGAGGCACCGTCAAAGCAGGGTAGAGAGTGGGGGACAGATGCAGGATGCCACCCAACTTTCTGAGGCAGACAGACAGGTGTCTTGTGCCTGTGCTCTACCAGCAGAAACCAAGGAGACTCTCCTTGCTTGGACGCTCTAGTCGCCCCTTATAAAAGGCCCTCTGCAATCCATCAGATAGAATTCAATAACCATTCATGCCCGGTCAAGGCCAGCTGACTGTCATACATAACTCAGTGTTTTCATAAGTAACTAGGAAACTCCTCACCATGAAGCAGGCAAGTACTACAGAACCTCATCTGTACCCAAAAGATCAAAGGGTCTGGGGGCATTTGTGGTTCATCTTCACCTTCCCAAGCAGGCCACACACAATGGTCAGCATGTGATCGTCACCATATAAGCATTTCTTGCACTCAGTTAAGAATCATAATTTGCTTTTGTAAAAAATCACTCTGAAAGCAACTTTTCATCTTTATTCTGTTCCTAACTATAAAAATAACAAATGCTTGTCATACAGAAAACCAAACACTCTCCCAGAATTTTGCTCTCCTAGATAACGACTCTCTTTGGTTCGTATCTTCTCAGACTTGTTTTGGGATAGAGTAGCAAATAAACAGGAATAAATGGGAATCCTGCAGTATGTACACAATCTTCTGTTGTTGCAGGTTTTCAAATATTATCACAGAATTCAACTGGCCACTTTTTCCGAGAACTTTGAGCATAAATGTTCTGGAGATGATTCTAAACAGCGGGTGGAAAACAAGATTTTCTTTTCAGTTTTTGAGCCACGCCAGGTGATGCTCATGCCTTACTCCTAGCTCTGCATTTAGAAATTACTCCTGGCAGTGCTCAGGGGAACATACAGGGTGCCAGGGACTGAATCTGAATCAGCTGTATGCAAGTCCAGAAGTACCCTACCCACTGTACTGTCACATACAGGGTGCCAAGGACTGAATCTGAATCAGCTGTATGCAAGTCAAGCAAGCACCCTACCCACTGTACTGTCACTCCAGTCCCATAATGTCTAAGATTTTCTTACTAGTCAATACTAAATATCACCCGAAGGAGTAAAGGTGAAATTCATTTCTTATCACAATAAAACCCCTTCCACTTCATATCTATCAAATACAGCAGTCACCCCAAAGTCTAATTGGTTCAGTACAAGAGACCACAGGGAACACAGTCTTTGAAAGTTAATTCTCCGTGACATGAAATGACAAGAACTTTTTCACCACAGGGACACTGAGATGGAACAAAGCTCAGCTCTTGCAGCAGCTGCTGAAGGACAACTTCGATTCAACCTCCCACAGCTTCATCTCTAATGCTTTCAAAACATCCTCCATCTAGTGAATTGAAAATAGTTTTAAAGACGAGTCAGTAACATTGAAATAAACATCATTGATAACAATTTCTGAATAGTACTCATTAGACATTCAGCACTTAAAGAAATTATTTAGAGGTATGATCTAATCTTTATTTGCAGTACTTCTAGAAATAGTAGTTCGCAACCTCTAATCTTCATCACTTCTACACATTCTTCACTACCTTGCCTCTCTCGCAATGAGAAGGCACAAGCCTGTATGGAATATAGTTTCGATAAAGTAAAGGCCCTAAAGTAAAGGCCCTCCCGTTGTTCATCGATTTGCTCGAGCGGGCCCAGTAACGTCTCCATTGGAGACTTTGTTGTTACTGTGTTTGGCATATCGAATGCGTCACGGGTAGCTTGCCAGGCTTTGCTGTGCAAGCGAGATACTCTTGGTAGCTTGCCGGGCTCTCCGAGAGGGGCGGAGGAATCGAACTCGGGTCGGCCATGTTGGCTGTGTGCAAGGCAAACGCCCTACCGCGGATAAAATATCTCCACTATTACTTTTCTAAGACAATTTAAACTGAAATAATATCTTGGTTTCCAAACACCCACACTGCCAGCAAAAGCAATAAAGCCACCCACCTCTTCCAAAAGCCAGCTAAGGGTTAGTGGCTCTTTCAAAGAGAAGAAAAGTATAGAACAAAGTTACCTCTTTTAGAGATTTCTCTATTTCAACTCTGCTTTCAAGATTAAAAAGCTCTTTATCTTCTGACACAATTTGCTTTTCAGAGGAGCCTAAAATATAACTGAAGAATAGTATAGTACAAAGTCAAAGTACGGTAAGAAAGCAAATATAACATTTATCTTGGCTAAGACTGTTAAAGCCCTTAAGAATCTTACATTGTATATTACCATCAAACCCAGAAAGAAAAAAACTACTTTTGTTAACAGCAACCGATTTAAGTTTACTCCATAAAATCTTCATTCAGAATTCTTCATATTTCCCATGGTTACAGGTCTTTCATTAATTGGAATAAACTTGTTCTCCACTAAGCTGGGTGGCAGACATCAATACTCATTGTTCAACTTTCTTTAGGAATTCTTTAGAATCCGCTGCTTCTCTGTTGTCTCTCACATTTCAGGAATCTGTGTACTTTTTTTTTTTTTTTTTTTGTTTTTGGGTCACACTCAGCAATGGAGTAAGCCAGGATTAGACCTGACTTTGCACTCAGGAATTACTCCTGGCGGTGCTTAGGGGACCATACAGAATGCAGGGGATTGAGCCATTAGGGCACTTGCAAGGCAAGCGCCCTATCCACCATACTATCTCTCCAGCCCCGAACCTTTATACTTTTAAATTCAGTTTTTAGTAAATTAATAATTTGTAGAATTGACTCTGGATACCCAGGTTATTCTTCAAGTATTGTTTGGTTCAAACAACAGGATCTGTTATGAGATGCTATAGCTTTGAAAATACTCAAGAGCTAGAAAACTGGGCTGGCAACAGGAGGAAAAAAGGCCCAGCATTAGTAATAAAAGCACAGGTGGGAAGCCGACGAGATAGGACTTCTTGCTTCCTCTTGTTTTGTTGGGGCCATGAGGTGGTGCTCAGAACTTACTCCTGGGTCTACTCAAGGATCTCTCCTGGAGGGACTTGGTGGCCCCTATGGGGTGTCAGGATTGAATCGGGGTCAGCTACATGCCTAACCCCTGCACTATCTCTCAAGTTTATAAGCTTTTCTACCACTTCAAAAAGCCTGCCATCCCATGCTTTCCACACATCCTCATGTGACTCTCACTAATCTGGTGAAGAGCTCATGAGATTCAGGAAGTGTTAGGGCTGGAGATTCGACTCGTAACAAAACCAAAACCAATCTGTTCTTGCTCCACACAGACCTGCAATCTTTACGGCATTGAACAGTATACTTGTTATGAAATTCTTTGGTCTAAGGGCTATTTAAAAAGCTTACGATTTCAAAAAATTTTTTTATCTTAATTGACCTAATTTTGAAAAATGACAAAACTGCAGTTATCAAAGAATAAATAAGGCCTAGAGAGATAGTATAGCAGATATGACGCTTGCCTTGCACTTAACCAACCTGGGTTCAATCACCCAGTATCCCATATGGTCCCCTGAGCCTGCCAAGAGTGATTCCTGAGTGCAGAGCCAGGTGTGATCCCTGAGCCCTGTTTGGTATGGCCCCCAAATCAAAAATAAATAATACAAAGAATAAATGAGAAATTATACTATACCTTTATATGAGAAAACACAAATTCATCAGAGATAAAATACTTCTAGTAATAGAAGCATAGACTTTCTTCTTCATTAAATTGTTCTGTTTTCTACCCAAGGTTTCTTGGGTATCTTTAAAGTTTTGAGGATCCTATCTTTTCCAGGATATGTGAAAACACACTAATTTATATTTCCACTGAAAAATGCCTGATGAGCTAGGCAAAAATGCCACATTGACATAGTAAGTCCTGTCAGCATTTCTCTAGGCACTAAGATAACTAAAATTTCTTTAATGGGTTGGTTATCAGCCCTACATAAGTTAGTCAGAAAAGCCAATGGTTCTCAGGGGCTACTCCAGGGTTATGCTTAGGGCCGTGTGGTACCAGATTGGGGTCCAGGGCCTCTGTACGTCAGGCAGGTGCTCAGCCCTGAGTTTTCCTCAACTAATGCATCATATTTTATCAAGGGGGTGATAAGGGTAGCATGCCCTATAGGCTATTCCTGGCTGTGCTCAGCAGTGACCCCTGGTGGTACTCCAGGGTCCGTATATGGTGACAGGGATTTCAATTGGGGTTAGCAGGAGAGGCCAACATCTTAATTCCTATACTATCTCTCTAGCACCAACATATTCATATCTAAAATTTTCTGTGTTTTTGACTATACTGAAATAAGGTAAGGTAAGGTAAAGGTCCTCCCGTTGATCATCGATTTGCTCAAGCGGGCCCAGTAACGTCTCCATTGGAGACTTTGTTGTTACTGAGTCTGGCATATCGAATACATCACGGGGAGCTTGCCAGGCTCTGCCGTGCGGGCGAGATACTCTCGGTAGCTTGCCGGGCTCTCGGAGAGGGGCGGAGGAATCGAACTTGAATCGGTCATGCTGGCTGCGTGCAAGGCAAACGCCCTACCGCTGTGCTATCGCTCCAGCTAGAAAGTCACTGTCACTGTCCTCCCGTTGTTCGTCGATTTGCTCGAGCGGGCCCAGTAGCATCTCCATTGGAGACTTCGTTGTTACTGTGTTTGGCATATCGAATACATCACGGGGAGCTTGCCAGGCTCTGTCGTGTGGGCGAGATACTCTCGGTAGCTTGCCGGGCTCTCCGAGAGGGGTGGAGGAAGTCAGATAAAACTTTGCTAGCCTAATGGTCATAAATGATGGCTCCAAACCATATTTTTATATGAGCAGGGCTGACTCTGCTCTGATATTTTCCCACTCTCTGCACAAGCTTGCAGAGAACTCAGTTACAAGATCGTTACTGTCTGAGCGCAACTTACCTTTCGATGGCTTCAACACTGAGACAGAACAAGTCCCTCTTGTAATCCAGAGCTTTGGGTGTGTATTTGTAGATGAAGCCAAGGCTGAGGGAGCATCCCGTGCAGTACAGAGCCTCCAGAATGCTGCAACGAGAAATGGCATCTCTTTAAGGACTATGTAGAAGGCCTGGGTTAGAGCCTAGCATCACATGGTTTCCTGAGCACCCCAGGGGCATTACCCAAGTACTATCAGCTATGACCCTAAATCCAGAATAAGAAAAATCTCTAGGGGTCCAGAGATAGTACAGTGGTATGGCACTTGCCTTGGACGTAGTTGACCCAAGTTGGATCCCTGGCACTCCACATGGTTCCCCAGAGGCCCTTCAGGAGTAATCCCTGAGCAGAGCCAGGTGTGATTCCCGCCCCCACCCCCAAACTAAAAATAATTTGAACACAGCAAATTCTAATAGTACTATAAATGAAAATCAGCATTTTTAATACATACAAAATTAAATCTGACTAATTTGCCTGCACAGCATCTAAAGTTACCACTGCAGATCTGGAAGCGGAGCTTCCCAGGTAGTATGCTGAGCACAAAAGGTGGCACTCTGAGGCTGAGGCTGTAGGTGTCACCACGCTGGCATTTCTATACCCATGAAACAAGTCATTGCCCACAGACTCCACATTGACATGGTGAGTCCAGTCAGCATTTCTCTAGGCACCAGCAGGTGAAAAATGGGCATCAGTCTAGCTCACTGTTTGGCTGAAGTTTCAGGACACAAACATTTTTCGTCTGTATTTTTTATGTCTTTTAGCAGCATCATTCCAAAGAGCCCACACTCAAAGGAGTACCAGAATGCGCCTTTCAGAAACTCTGACACTCTTCTGTCCCACTATCTAAAGGAGACATCTGTCCCTCTGGAATGAGTCTGGTACAGTGACTGATACTTTATTGATCACCACAGGGGGAAAAAAACTACCGCAGGCAATCTTCCAGGTAGTGACCTTTTAAAAATATAAACAGTTTCTCAGGCACAGAGACATACTTACCAACCATTTTCATTTTTACGTTTGGATAATATCTGTTCCTTATTCACAGAAACATTAGCGGAAACGCCTAAAAAGAAGTTACAGGGCTTCATTAGCGTGGTTTGTAATGATACGCAGCAGACACGTGGAGAGCTTCTCGCTCCACACTTTAGAACTTAAAAAAGCAGGAAAAATAAGAGCCCTGAGATCAGAGCAACAGTACAGTGGGTTGGATGCTTGCCGAGCAGGCAGCTAAACCTAGTTTGATTCCAGGCACTCCATAGGGTTCCCCAAAGTCAAGCTGGGAGTGATCCCTGAGCACAGAGCCAGGAGCACGCCCTGAGAACCACCTGGCATGGCCCTCCAATAAAACAGAACGGAAACAAAGCCAGTATTACAAACTAGAACTCCGGCCTCATAAATTCCAGACTCCCCTCCCCTACAAGAAGGTGGCTGGTGCCTTCACAGCAAAGTTTCCCTTTTCTATTTATTGTTTTAATTTGTAGTTTCCCTCTTTTAAATGAAAAAAAATGTATTTTTTAATGTTTAAAGATCAGAGATAAGTGGGCAGGAGGGCTGCAGCACAGGTTTTGCATGAAGGAGCTCCAGTTCCATGCCATCGGAGAGTGACTGGAGCACCACCCTGAGAGCAGAACTCCTCCACCCAACCAAACACTAAAAGGATGGCAACGTGGGGCGGGAGAGAGCGCACAGCTGGGTGGGTGCTGCTTGCCTTGGGGCACTGCCCACCCAGGTTCCCCGAGCCCTGCCAAGGAGCGCTACCTGAGCGCAGAGCCAGAAGTCAGCCCTGAGCACTATCTCCAAAACTGACCAAACTAAAACAAATATATATATATATATGAATAAAAATGAATTAAGCTAGCGAGTCCACTGCAGATGTGAGGGGAGAGTCGGGCTTCCAGTGCGGGAGGGTCTCTGAGGGCGGAGCCTGAGGGGGGGCGGGAGGGTCTCTGAGGGCTGATTCTGAGGAAGCCAGGGGTTATCTCTGAGAGTCGAGCCTGAGGAGGGTGAGGGGGGGGGTCTCTAAGGGCCAAGTCTGAGGGGTGCAGGGGTGCAGGGAGGGTCTCAGGGCCGAGCCTGAGGGGGGGCGGGGGAGTCTCTGAGGGCCGAGTCTGAGGGGATCAGGGGGGGTCTCTGAGGGCGTCTGAGGGGGGGGCGGGGGTCGCTCGGCTCCCTCGTCTCCCGCCTCCTCCAGAGGCTCGTCAAGGCAGGGGGCGCCCCCCGCAGCCCCGCCGCGGCCACTGACTGCGCAACAGGATGCAGTTACTGTCCTCCTGGCTCGTCACCCAGCTCAGCGAGTCGCCCAGCGGCCGCCGGCAGCCGCCGCACAGGAACACCAGCAGCCTCTCCGCCTCCTCCTCCTCCTCAGCCGCCGCAGCCAAGGCCGTAGCCTCCACCGTAGCCTCCGCCTCCGCCGCCGCCGCCCCCGCCGGCGCGGCCCCCGCCTCCTGGCGTCGCGGCCTCTCGCCGTCGCCCCCGTTCGACGAGTCGCGGCTCACGGTGCTCCACATGTTCGCCCACTTCTGCAGCAGCTGGTGGCGGCCCGAGTCTTCCGAGAGCCGCTTGCTCAGCAGCGAGGAGTTGTTCCAGCGGCCTCGGTCGCCGCACGCGCAGTTGGTGGAGGAGCAGCACTGGCTGGAGCTCGTCTCCCAGGCCGACGCGGCCATCGGCTCAAAGCGCCCGCGCCGCGGAGCACCACGGGAACAGAAACGGGGATGGGGGTGGGGAACCCAACCCGGAAGCCCTGCCCCTGCGCATGCGCCAGTTCCAGCGCGGCGGCGGGGGGGGGCAGCCGGGGGGGAGGGGGCCAGCGGAGGGGCGGTGCCTGAGCCGGGGGGCGGTGCCTGAGCGGGGCGGGCTCAGCGCGCCTGCGCGCGGTCACACTGGGCCCGGCCGGGTGTCACTGCGCCTGCGTCACGGTTGGCGTCGCTGGGAGACGGAGGCTCTGGAGGGAGGTCAGGGAGCCCAGGGACTAGCCGACGGGCTGGTGTGTAGGTGCAAGGGCGACGTCTTTGACAAGGTTACAGACTCGCCGCCCCCCTCCTAGCCCCAAGCCCCGGGGGAGGGGGAGATGGTACAGCGGGGAGGGCACTTGCCCTGCACGCAGCCAACATGGGTTTAATCCCTGCCACCCTCATAGGGTCCCTGAGCACGGCCAGGAGCTAGTCCTGAGCGCAGAGGTAGGAGTACGCCTAGATAGAGCACTGCCAGAAGTGACTTAACAAACAAGCAAGAAAAAAAAAACAAATGAGCAGCCCTCATCGCGGTTACTAACACCAGAGACCGAGGCGTTGGGGGTACATTTCTGCTTTCTCTGGCCTTGCCCTTCCTCAAGATGTGCAAACCCAGGCGTGGCCAGATGGTGTTTGCATGCAGGATGTCCTGGGTTCCATTCCCAGTACTGCATGGTGCTCTGAGCACTCTAGAAACCCCTGAGCACCTCCAGATGAGCACCTCCAGACCCAAACCCACCCCCCAAAAGAAGTGTTTTAAATGAAAACAAAATGCTCCAGGCCCTTAAACCGCTACATTTCTAAAATCCACTGGGGTGTTTGCACAAACCCGGTTGCTAGGCCAGAGGAGGGCGTGAAAACTCTAACAGACTCCTGGGTGCTAATCCACAGGTACACCCCACTTGGCTGCTCTTCGTGGTCTGTTTTCCTGGAGGTGAATAATGTAAGAGTTGAGCAAAACCTCGTGCTCCACATGCCAGACAAAGACCCTGCAGAGGGTCCTTTGCAGAGACCTCCTGGAGTGCAATGCCAGGGGACAGAGGGCGTGGACTGCCGCTATGTGGCTGGAAGAAACGAGGCCGTGTGTGCCCTGAACCCATCCGCATCTGGGAACCAGACATCCCTGGCACCAAGACAGACTTCCTCAGCCTCTTCAGAAGGCCAGTGGGGAGGACTAGAGGGGAAAAGGCCACACTGCACCAGAGATGACCTGGCAGTTTAGATCTGGCGAGGAAGGGATGCCTACGTGCCATTACGGGGCTGTCCACTTGGCTTGGTCAGAGAAATCACTTACATAAAAGGTGCTTTGAATTTTAGTGAATCTGACCACTAGCCAAAAAGCAGAGCATTGGAATCAGAAATCTCAGAGTTCTAACTCTAGACACCCTGGAAAGCCCTTTCATTCCTGAGCCTGGTTCTTCCTGGGTTAAAGGGGTCAGTACTGCACTGGAGTCATTGGGAGATTCCAGCGTCTGACGCTAACATGGGGAAACACTTTCATGCATCATGCACTGTGTCCATAACAGGAATGCACCAGAGAGGTTCAGTTTTCCTTTAACCCACAGAACCTCCCTGACACACGCGTGCATGCACACATACACACACACACACCCACACACACACACACACACACCCTGATGCTTTGGAGGAATGTGACCTTCATTGGCTGCTGGTTTTCAAGCCCTTTTGCCACTTGTAATGTCTGGCACCAACCTTTTTTTTTTCTTATTAGAAGTCATTTATTGTAAGATAATTTACAAAGATCTGCTGTCCTTATTGGCATTCAAGCCCAATACATCAGGATCCTCCGTGAGCTGTATTGCGGATTCACTACCAGGATCTCACCATTCTACAAAGAAGTGATCGTTGATGTCAAGAGAGGGATGCGGCAGGGTGATACCATTTCACCGAAACTCTTCAGTGCCACCCTCGAGAACATCATGCGATGACTGGAATGGGAAGGAATGGGAGTGAAGATAGATGGTCGGCAACTACACTACCTCCGCTTTGCTGATGACATTGTTTTAATAACACCAAACATCAGCCAAGCGGCACAAATGCTGGCCGACTTTGACCGTGAGTGTGGAAAGGTAGGACTACAGCTGAATCTTACGAAGACAATGTTCATGAGAAACAGCCTCGTTCCTGATGCCCCATTTGCTCTCAACGGAACAACCATCTCTGAATGCAACAGCTATGTGTACCTAGGTCGAGAAGTCAACATGACAAATGACCTGGCACCCGAGCTGCGCAGGAGGAAGAGAGCGGCTTGGAACGCCTTCAAGAACTTCGAAGAAATAGCTAAGAGGACGAAGAACCTCCGGCTCCGGGCACATCTCTTTGATTCCACTGTTCTTCCTGCATTAACATATGCCTCAGAGACCTGGGCCCTACGCAAACAAGATGAGAACGCTATTCAGGTCTCCCAAAGAAGAATAGAAAGAGCTATGCTTGGAATATCACGTTTCACTCAAATGAGAGAAAGAATCCGGAGTTCTGACATCCGTCGACGATCAAGAATCAGGAACGCTGTCTCGTTTGCCAAGGTGTCAAAATTCAGATGGGCTGGTCACGTAATGAGATTTAAAGACGACCACTGGACTAGAGCTATTACTGACTGGATTCCACGGGATGTCAAAAGACCGCGTGGCCACCCACCTACCAGATGGTCAGACTTCTTCATCAAGATCATGAACTATCGGTTTGAGGCTCTTCATGTTCCCAGGGCGAACAGATGCCATTGGGCTACACTAGCACGCGACAGGGACAAATGGAGACGTTACTGGCGCCCGCTCGAGCAAATCGATGACTAACGGGAAGTTAAGTGATTAAGTGCTGTCCTTATAACTCAACAGCCAAACATTTCTTTTGATGAGGACAGCGATAAGTTCAATCCATATTCAGTGTGCTGAATTTTCTTTCTTTACCTCTTGTGTGAGGATGCAACTTGGTTTTCATTAATCCAGAGCAGCAGCGCTTGAGATGATCTCTATCAGCTCCTTGGTGATGATGGCCTGAAGGTCAGAGTGAGCTTGTCGATCACCTCCGAGATGTTCTTGCTAGCTGTCATCCATGGCACTCTGCTCGCTCGTGGTCACCTCCTTCAGGGAGTAGTAGATGATGTTGGCCAGATTATATTCCTAGTAGTTCTGCAGCACATCAGCATCAATGTTGTCATAGATACTCATGTTCTCAGTATTTGCAATGGTATCAAATGAAAAGATAGGCTTTTCTTCTGTTGTAGGAAATGACAGACCTGAATCGATTAAAGATGATAGACCCTTCATCAAATTCATAACCAGAATTCAGTAATTCAAGGGCAATGACCGATGCATCTCCGAAAGTTGGGGGCTTTCTCCCCACTTCCTTGAAGGTCACTAGAAACTGATCAGAGTGAGCCCTGTGAAGTATCCCCCTGATTTTGTCACCAATGCCAACAATCATAACTTCTTTCCCAACTGCCATGAGGTTGGCCACCTCATTTTTCATCTGCTTAGCCACCGAAGAGTGAATAGTTGCACACAGTCCTTGGTCCGAGGATACACCAATGAGAAGGTGCTGCTGCTTGTTCTCAGGGGCTTGGATGTCAGCTTTTTCATAGAGAGACAAAGACCCTGTCCCTTACACGCGCGCTGGCTTCAGCTCTCTCTCAGCTCGGGCGTATTTGGCAGCTGCCACCATTTTCATGGACTTGGTGATTTTCTGAATGTTTTTGATGGACTTCAGTCGCCCGGTAATATCTTTCAAAGTTGCCATATTTCGAACTTGTATCCATTGCGGCTGCATGGCCCAGGCCGAGAGCCCCGTGACGCTGGCCCGGGAGAACATGATGGCAGAGCGGCACTGCTAAAGCTGGTACCAACCATTTTGACTCAACTCACCTTAAGTCTTTAAGAGGATGCTATCTCGGATGTTCCTGGGAAAATGGGACTAGCCTAAGAACTTTCCGCTATCCCTGGCACTTTTGCTTAGGGGAGCTTCTTCCCCTACTCATACTATTTTTTATGTGCTTATTTTTAAGTTTTGTTTTTAATCTTATTTTTATTATCTAGATGTGTATCATTACAAAGATAACTATATTAAAATATTTTATGTAAAATTATATGACTTTAAAAGAAACAAAAATGCTTCATGATCCTCCCCCCCCCCCATATTAATTATCAGGGACTCCAGGCATTGTGCCATCTGTGCCTAATGGTAAAGCCAGCCCCATAGCAAACTAAAGTCTACCAGAAACACAAATGTTTAGATGATGGCTTCATATAGCTACAACATCCAATTTTATGTAGCGACAAAGTGAGAGGCTTGAATGAGATGGACTTGGAATGGATGCAACCACTTCCTCCATCCCTCCTAGGAGATGTGAATAAGGTTAAGTCTAATCCCCATTGTCAGGACACCTCCCCCCCGCAACTCCTGGGTTAGAATGGGACCCCAGAATTCTAACCCCCTCAGGATAATCCATTTCTCTTTCTGTGATGCCAGCTACAAAGACAGTGCCAGCCCCTGACTCAGTCCAGGTTCACGCACAGACACACACACACACACACCCCCCTCACACAGAGACCAGAAGTGACTTGGGAACAAGGCTTGATCTAAGTCTCCAGCTTCTCCCAGAGTTTCATGGCTAAGGGCAGAGAAGATATTTTTGTTTCTCCAGCTATGGCCAGAAAAGCACAGGCCCAGGTCTCTTCAGACTGCTAGTTGGAAAACAAGCAGAAAAGGGCAGAATCTCAGAGAAACCAGCCCTGTTCTCTGGACTCTCAGTTCTGTAGGTCAACAAATTCTCTCTTCTGTGGGAGTCATTATGAACTATTTTGTTTTTACTAGCAATGAAAAGCATATGTGACCGCCTGTTATAGGCTATTAAAATCAAGGTTTGTGGGGTTTTTTTTCCTGGCAGTGCTGGAGAAGGAACCCAGGGTCTCCCACAT